GTGTGTGTGTGTGTGTGTGTGTGTGTGTGTGTGTGTAAACTCCCTGATCTTTGTTTTTTAAAACAATATTTTTAACTCTGACTTTTTCTCATATCTATGATAATTTCACTTAATTTGAGAGATTCAAACTCAAATTAAGTGAACAAACACTTTCTGATCTTGCTTAGTGTAGCTGTTTCAAAACAAGATCAAAACTCCTTTTTGGTTGAAAATAAGATGGTAATATTTGGTTAGATGAACAGTTGTTGCAGTGTAGCTGTTTGCTCATGGATCCACTCAGAATGAAATCATGTCTTCAGATTGAGGCTGTTTAAAGAGCGATTCACAACAGATAAGGTATTTATGTTCGTTACCTTTCCAACAAAACCCTGCTTCAGAAGAAACATTTCTGGCTTTATAATAGTCCCTTTAGTAGTTCGTCATCAGAATGACACATTTATGTAATGCACTGTCTGAACACTCGTAATGACTCTCCTGTCCAAACTTCTGATCCTCCTTTTCATTTCTGCTCTGATCTACTTAGGCTGTCCTTCTGTACGGTTTGTTGGCCTTTCTGATAAATTCCGTTTTGAACCTGTTTAATTTGGCACAGAGATGCTCGCACCTGCAGCCAATCAGTAATCACTGTGAGACAGAGTCTGGAATGTTTAGCTTCAAAAGCCAGTTTTCAGACCCTTTTCGATTTTACACATCTTTTTTAAAATTTGTTTTAACATGTCTCTCTGTGTGTGTGTAACACTGCAATCCTTTCTGTAAACACACAAGTATTTGTCTTCCGGCAGGATTGTGGATGGCACTGAAGACAGTGAGGGAACAGAGAGTTTGCAGACTTTCTCCTTTTCCACCAGCCTGGGTTGTCCTGTCGGTGCTCCAACCAGTGCCTCCGCCTCCACCGCAGGTCCTTTCATCACACAACACACCGCTGACTCCTCGTGTTGTTTTGCAGTCTCTGTATAAAGAGTTCTCTTCCCAAAGCCTGCAGAAATTTGAAATAAATAGGACTAATTAACACTCCTTCATGACTGAAATGTTTATCGTCAGTCTTCCYGCAATGACTTTGGGGAGGGTGGAAAAAAAGTATATTTTTTTACTTTGTCTACAGTATTTGAAGGGGTTCATAATTTGCTCATTTGTCACAGATATGATGCAAATCAGCACAACAGAATTAGCAGCAAAAGCAGAGGAGACCAGAGGACAACTGCGACACCTCGACCAGCAGGTAGGATGTGGTGTGTGCGCATATACTGCATGTGTGTAATTCTACTGAACTCATCTTCCTTTAAAGGATTTTTAAAAAATGCAGCTATTATTGTCGCATATTGTAATTAATGCAGTAAATACAAAAATGGAAATAAAGGTCAAAGGCTTGGTTCAAGGTGAGGATTAGGATGAAGCTGGAGAGGATCACAGTTAAGTTTCTGGGTTTGAATGTTGGAGCAAATAAATCTGTAATGAAGTGAGTAAAATGTTGAATGTTTGACAATATGGGACGAACAGATGGAATAAAGTAAGCACAAACCATATGGATGTGTCAGCATGTAAAGCACATAACAGATGGAAGGATTGTCAGGAGGGATGAGATCAAAAGAATGACAAAACAAGCTCATAAATCACAGAGAGACATCTATTTAGGTGTTTCTTTATATTTAAACAGCAGTGGTTCTTATAGTTTTATGACCAGCACCACATTAGTTCTAATTACCACCATTATAACAGATATTAGAAACCAGTACAAACCCCAAGCCCGGACACTGGTTTCATACATTTATGAAGAAAAGTGCAGATTTTACAAATGTCATATGATACTGAACAAATAAAGGCTGTCATGTTTGCCGAAATATTATTATTAAACATGTTATTGGATTGGCTTCAGAATGATATTTACCTGCTCCAATCTGTACCTTCTTGCCTTGTAAAAACAAATTTCAACAACCAATCCAGGAACCAGACCGCTGCAGTGTTGAAGTATTGATTCTGAGACAGAAAAACTACAAATAAACAAGAAATGCACTTCAACCCTGCATCACAAAATCCCAAACGTATTTTAACATCTTTAATAACTTTGCTACTAATAGGTATTTTAAAAAAGGGGATGAAATAATAAAAGAATCCACAACTGTTATTGTTTGCTGCATCTTTCAAAGCATCAGCGTTCACAGTAGTTGAGCAGAACTTGAGTACAATTTTCTCGTTTGGTTTTGTTGTGTGTAGGAATTGTACAAATCATAGTAGAAAGGTGATACCGAAATGTCCTCTGAGTCCCACTAGAGGAGTCCTGAGTACCACCTGTGGTACTTGTACCACAGAGACCTAATGCTGAACTTTTTAGACTCACCTTGTGTGTCACAGATCCTAATGGTTTGTTTTGTACTTTAAACTACGTACACGCAGGGTCTCACAAAGCATCCTGTAGTTTGAGTGGCGTTGACGAAATTAGACTTTTTGCCTCAACTTTTACATCCCAATGTGTGTATTGAAAGTTAAWAAAACATCCTAAACAGATTAAATATTTTTTTCTTTTTTCATCTCTTGAAACTAAAACAAATAAAATGTGTGATAGTATAAAAACAATGGCGCAACACTTCTTTTAAATGCATGTTTTGTTGTGCTCTTTCTAATCCTTTGGGTTTTCTGATGTTTGACAGGATGCCTTTTAGCTCTGATGTTTTGTTGTCATTTCACACTTCCAATCACACTGATCTCCACAGGAGATTAAAATTTGTGTTTGATTAAAACTCAGTCTGTACCTGTCACCAAACCCCCCCCCCACCCCCACCCCCCCAAAAACCATATGGCAAAATAAAAATGTGGTGCGTGTGACACAAATTAATATGGTTGGGGAAAAGGTATTCAATTTTTTCACTTATGCTGTAGTGAGTTCTTCCCATTTGCTGCTAAGCCATAACAAAAACACATGTAAATGTATCTTATTAAACCAGACAAATCCCATTGAGTTCACAGAACTCTTTGTTTAGAGGCCTGAAGGCAACTTAACATGCATGTTTTAGGTCTGTGGTAGGAAACCAAAGCACAGGGAGAAAAGTCATGCATGCATGAAGAGAACATACAAACTCCACATGGAAAGACTCCAGGTCTGAACCAGGGATCTAACACAGGACCTTCACACTGTCATCTGCAGTGAGAATAGGGAGCAGGTGGAAGAGACTCTGGAGAGGTGGGGMTTTGTTCTGGAGTGAAGAGGCAAGAATCCAGGAGAGGGAGACGATGAGGATGAGTTTATGTACTTAAAATAAACCATCCAAAGCAGCAGGCTGAAGAGCTGGCAGGGTGGAGTGGGAGGAGATGGGACAGCTCAGGTTTAGAGACAAAGAGAGATAAARCTAAAGACTGGTTCAAACGAAAAATAATTATGTCGATTTTTGACCTGATTTTGCCCTTCTGACAGTCTTAAAGACCCCCCGATTTTTGTGATGGCTCTAAAAATAATTTTAGGAGATGTTCTTGCTGTGTGTGGTGCACTAAGGGTGATCTAGTTAGCTCAGAAGCACATCAGGCACACTCCGATCTCAAATCGTGGATCTTCAGCATGTTGGATCGTCTTGGCCCAATATGTGTGAYGTGTAGCCAATCAGAAAGTGAGGTGACAGAGGGGTATCCAAAATACAAATAACAAAACAACTGCCATGGTGCTCCAGAAAATCCAGTAGACATTGGCTATGTCATTTTTTTGTTGTTGTTTTTTGCTGTGGTTTCTGTTAAAAATAATCCATAAACTATCACTGTTGCTGCTTCCATTGCTGAACTTACTGATATCGAGATGTTTTGCGAGATTTTTGCGAAATCTGTTTGTGTGTTGTCTTTGCCGTATGGCTGTACACCACACGCTGTGGGACCAAGCCTCTCGTGAGTTTTCATCATCATCAGAGTTGTAAAGTAACTAAGTACAAATACTTTGTTACTGTACTTGAGTAGATTTGTTGGGTATCTGTACTTTACTTGAGTAATTATTTTTCAGCCTACTTTTTACTTCCACTTCTTACATTTTCACACAATTATCTGTAATTTCTACTCACTACATTTTTTAAAAAGGCAAGAAGTAGAAAGTCGTTACTTTTATTTCATTTTTGCTTGTTTTTATTCCAGATTGTTGTTGTAAAAAATAAATCCTATCCATATAAATTGTGCCTCCTAGATAGAGTGAATGATTGAATGAGAAGTATAAATACATAAAATTCTGATACTGTATTAGTTTGTACACAAACAAATCATGTCACACTCCAGCTGGACATAATCATTAAAATAAAAGGACTGTACTTAAGAAGTATTTGTATTTCATGAATTATATTATTGCATTTGGCCGCAGCCCTCAGATAGATTTTCATTTTGATGAAAAGGTTTTGGCAGCCTTGATATTTGTATATAAACTGAAACAGCTAGACTAGTGCATCCTAGATTTAACATAAATTAATTATTTTAATACAACAGTCATTTCTGCAGTTTTTGGGGAGTCACCTCCTAATAAA